AAGAAGGTATTCAGTAGCTCTGCCTTCTCTGCATCCTCCGTCACCAGGACACCCGCCTCATTCAGCAGCGGCCCCACATTGTCCCTAGCCTTCCTTTTGCTGCTGATGTAGTTGAAGAAGCCCTTCTTGTTGTTTTTGACATCCCTTGCCAGCTTCAATTCCAGGTGGGCCTTGGCCTTCCTCGTTGCATCCCTGCACGCTCTGACCACGTTCCTGTACTCTTCCCAAGTGGCCTGCCCCTCTTTCCACATTCCATGGACCTTTCTCTTCCACCTGATCTCCGCTAGAAGTATACTGGATGTGAGAGCAAAACCGCTGACTTGAAGTACACTTATGGTGGTGTTGTCATATATATGTCATATGGTATGATTAGGGCATACGGGAGTGGTCAACCTCCTGGGCCTAATAACTGTCCACACACTTACTTCTTACAAGTTTGTTCTGTTATGAATGTACTTATCGTTAATACTATTTGTCTCCAATTGAACATGAATAGCATAGGGATTGTACCTCTGTATCATGATCATGCAAAAAAACAAAGCAATGTATGACCTTAAGCTGAAGTGTTCATTTGTTAGGAATGCAATTTTCCAGAACTGGCGAAAGGCAACCCCGAATTTCCATTATTTATACTATCTCTGCGACTCTGAGAAAGGAATGCATGTGTTCTGTCTGGTGAATCTAAAAAGAAAGTGGAGGAAATATTGATGGTATTGGGGTTGGAATTTTAAATAATGTTCATTTGAAAGAGTTTGAGAAAATACTTCAGTAGCAGGAGAAAATCAGTAGAACAGAAAAAAAGCAGCTGTTGCAGAAGACTGTATTATTTTGGGTTGTTGACTTGTGTGGTTTGGGGTTTTTTTTGTATTTTTTTTGGGGGGGAAGGGGCAGTGGCAGTGTCTTAATGTCTGAATTCATGTTAATCTTGACTTCATGTTGTTACGTACAAGTCCCTCTACCCTTCAGAGCTTCAGGTGTTCCTTTAGCTCATGGCTACTGTTCTAGGTAACGTATTAATGATTTTTTTTTTCTTTTTTTTTACTCAAGTAGCATGTTGACATGTTTATGTGGATTTTAAAAACTGCAGTTCCTGAGATGACTTACACAGCCACTAGTACTGGATAATTTTAGTTTTCCCACACTTTTTCTGCAGGTAGTAAACAATAAATAAAACACACTTTGGCTTATTTTAGTTTCTTTCAACAGTTGATGCCCATACTTAAAACTTGAAATTCCAGCACTGTAGTTATTCATGGGGTGTCCATGCATTACATTATAAATTTTTAGTTGCTGCCTTTTTTTCTTTTTTTCTTTTTTTTTTTTTAACTATCAGATCCCTCTTATGTTGTAGACCCGTTTGCTGCAGATGTGGGTGAATAGGGGTGGGTAAGCAATTGCAGCTGAAGGTGATTCAGGGCAGTTCCTTCCCTGATGTTACAGAAATAATGTGTATGATAAATCTCTCTTGCAGGATCCATATCTTGACTGTTACACAGTGTCATCTATTAAGGAGAAGCTTGGTTGTGACAGAGAGTCTTTGATTGGGCTAGCTGTTCTTCTCGGTTGTGATTATCTTCCAAAGGTAAGCAGTATAAATTTTTTTTTATTAGATACTTACATTGTCTTGAAAAACAATAAACGTTATCAAGGGAGACATGTGCGTGCTGACAGAACTGTATGCTTACATGAATAAACATGATTACTGAGATGTAGTTGAAGAAGATGCTTTGTAAGTTGCTGTAAGTGTTATTTGTGCAGTCTGAAAGATAATCAAAATGGCTCATGAACATTAATCTTTCTAAAACTGTTATGTTTTATTTCAGTTCTTTTTTTATAATGGAGGAGAAGGCAAAAGTTTGGATGTTAATTACATCGAGCAAAGGTGTGAGAACTCAGTTGTTTGTGAGGATGCTTTGTAATCATTCGCATATAAGTACATCCCTGGCAGAATAGCTGTTGGAAAATGAGAAAAACAGCTTTGTTTATGCTGTTTGGAAGACTTAGTGGTGATGTTTTTGAGCTGTAGTTATTAGTAATGCCAGTTCTGGATGCGATTTGGATGGTATCCCCTTGTAGTTCTATCATTTGTAAATACGTGATTTATGAAGAAGTCACTTATTTGAAAGTTTGCCTAATGAATGAGGTGAGAGGGATCTCGCTCATTGCTATGTCACTTTTTTTTTTTTTCTGAAAGTTCTTGAATGTTTTTTGAAACTTTGAACGGAAGCTGTTGTAATGGCTATTTGAAATGGAAAGGAAGTGGGATGAAACTTGATTTCTGTACAGATCATCATACAGTGACTTCAGGCAATGGTTGCTCCCATTTGGGCTTGCAATGGGTATCTAGTAGTTCTTAAATCATTGTGTCCCAGTTTGATAAAACTGTCCTCCTAAACAACTGATACTGCGAAAGAGCAAATGGCTCTAATTATTAAGTGTTTTTTCTGAAAGACTTGCTTCTGTTACAGGAATCTTTAAATAGTTGTTAATTATTATTATTACAAAATAAATCATAGAATCATTAAGGTTGGAAAAGACCTCTAAAATCATCAAGTCCAACCGTTGACCCAACACCACCATGCTTGCTAAACAGTGGCCTGAAGTGCCACATCTACACTTTTTTTGAATACCTCCAGGGGTGGTGACTCCACCACTTTCCTGGGCAGCCTGTTCCAATGCTTTACAGCTCTTTCAGTAAAGAATCCTAATATCCAATCTAAACCTCCCCTGATGCAACTTGAGGCTGTTTCCTGTCATACTATTGCTAGTTACTTGGGAGAAGAGACCAACACCTGCCTCACTACAACCTCCTTTCAGGTAGTTGTAGGTCTCTCCTCAGCCTCCTCTTCTCCAGACTAAACAGCCCCAGCTCCCTCAGCCACTCCTCAGAAGACTTGTTCTCCAGACCCCTCACCAGCCCTGTTGCCCTTTTCTGGACACGCTCCAGCAACTCAGTGTCTTCCTTGTATGTATAGAGAAGGAGTAAAAAAAAAATAGTGGCTAATCAGTGGTTATTGTAATGGAACTAGCAGCTCCTGAAATGCCAGGTTCTTGCATAGTCCTGAAGTGACATGGTTACATAATGTCAGATAGGTCTTTTGAGTTACTGCAGCCCAGCGAAGTGGATAGAGATAGAAACTTCTAAGGAAAGCTGAATTACAGGAGTGCACTGGGAATGGAGATTGGTAGAACAGATAAAGTAGAATACCACTCTATAAGTGCACCTAGTTTGTTGAATACATATCAAGATGATGCTTTCCTTGCAGAGCTTGAATATCTGACTCTCTACCTGAGCATCTGGCTGCAGTCCAATGAGAACTCCTAAATGGCTTTGAATGTACATTTATTTCATATGGTTTTATATGTTCAGTTCACCCATTACAGCTGAACAAAAATAAGCTTTAGATTTATTTGTAATAATGCTATAGAAAGCATTATTACAATCCTTACATTCAACTGTACTGATTCTTGGCAACATAGAGTAAGGATTGAAAGAAGAACTGGAAAAGCAGTATGTGTGTTTTAAACGATAGAAATGTTTGCGTTGGAAGGGACCTTTAAAAGTCATCTAGCCCAATCCCCCTGCAGTGAGCAGGGACACCTTCAACTTGATCAAGTTGCTCAGAGCCCCGTCCAACCTGATCTTGAATGTTTCCAAGGATGGGACATTTACCACCTCTCTGGGCAACCTGTGCCAGTGTTTCACCACTCTCATCATAAAAAAAATTTCTTCCTATATCTAGTCTGAATCCACCCTTTTTTAGTTTAAAACCATTACCCCTTGCCCTGTCGCTACAGGCGCTACTAAAAAGCCTGTCCCCATCTTTCTTATAAGCCCCCATTCAGTACTGGAAGGCCACAATAAGGTCTCCCTGCAGCCTTCTCTACTGCAGGCTGAACACCACCAACTCTCAGCCTTTTCTCATAGGAGAGGTGTTCCAGCCCTCTGATAGTGTTCGTGGCCCTCCTCTGGTTGTTTTGTATCAACTCACTTTCACTCTTCAGTATGTCTGAGGGTTACTACAAAGTTCTGGATTTTAGTCCATGAGCTAAGTTCCAGAAAAGGAACATCTGAGGCTGGGTTGGAAGGGACGCTGAGCAACCTGATCTAGTGGAAGATGTCCCTGCTCGCTGCAGAGGGGTTGGATTAGGTGAGCTTTAAAGGTCCCTTCCAACCCAAACCATTCTGTGATTCTGTGAAAATACTTGCTGTTCCTACCTATTATCCATAGTGACAGTCTCCTTTCCTATAGAGGACATGCATACTACAGATGTAGTAATGGAATAAGTATCAAAATCAAGCAAGAAATTATTGAAAGAGAGGGAAGAAATTCTTTGGGTTTGTGGTTTTATTGGGTTTCTTAATTATTTTTCAGACCATGCTCTTGCATTTTTCTTTGTTACCTCTTAGTATTGATTTTGCATAAGTGCTTGAAATATTAATATTTTAAAAGTTGTTGCTGTTGCCGTAAAGCATCTCTTTCCTGTGAGTGAAAGCTTTTTGCTGGATTTCTGCAGTCTTTCATGTTCCAGCCTTTTGACTCTAAAATCCAGAAGATCTGTCTTCATCTTGTCTTTCCAAAATAATTTTGATAAGTTTCAGCTCTCTGACAGTTAGCTGGTAAGAATGTTACCGGTATTTTATATTGCTATCCTGTTGCAGATAGCAAGAAGGAAAACAAACCAAACAATATTTCTTTTCAAATTGTTTTCTACTACCCTCTTTCTCTGCCTTGTTTTGTCTGAGCTACTATTGAGTATAAGGACACTTTATGCAGCTTGTGTGTACTGGCAGTACAGCTGTAATCTGTCACCTTCTCTGGCTTTAGAACTTGGGCAAAAATTATTTTTCTCATTTTACTCTCAACATCTGGAATAATTTTTGTCATTTCTGTGCATGAGGTTACAAAGGCAGTTTTGATGAAAATCTGAATGCTTCCTGTTTGTCATTAAATAATGTTCCGTATTTCTGTCTCTCCAGGGCATTCCAGGAGTTGGGAAAGAGCAAGCTTTAAAGTTAATTGAGACTTTGCAAGGTCAAAACTTATTGCAAAGGTAAAGTGAAAATTTATGTTGTGTGCTGAAGTAGTTTGATTTTATTTAAAGACTTACTGACATGTACTTCAGCTCCAAGACTATGTTTGTAATACTTTAATTTTGAGGGAGGGAGGGGCAGGCCAGAGAGAGATTTCCACATTCCTTACTTTGTTTGCTAAATGAATTATGTGTTTTGCTAGGCAAGCTTCTTAACTGTTTTAAACATTAGATGGCTCCTAGCTCTTGATCTAGCATGTCTACGTTAATAAATTGGAAAGGAAGTCATAGGGACTGATGAGAGACTTTTTGCTAGTTTTTAATTGGGTTCTAGATCAGGACATGAGATGCCAAATGCTTTCTGTGTTTGTTATCATAATGTGTGTGTCAATACTAGAAATCCATCATATAATGTACTTTAAAAAAAAAATCTATTTCATAAATTAGAAAATTCTGTTTCTTGGGTAGATGCCTGAGAAGTATAAAGGGAGTATTTTTTAGTGTTTTATTTTAAGTATGAAAGTTAAAAATGTTTCTTAATCCTTTTAATATCTCCTGTTAGGTTTGAGCAGTGGAAAGAACAATTTAAGTGTGATGATAATCCACCTTTGGTTGTTAAAAGGGTAATTCACTGTTCTGAGTGCCATCATCCAGGTCAGTGTGAAAAGCACTGAATTCTATTTTTTGCCCAATTGTTTTTTTTTTTTTGGTTTTTTTTTTTTTTGATTGGTCGGGGTGGTGTTAAATGCTGCATTTTGTCATTCAGCTTGTGGGCTATCTTCACATTTTCAGTATTGTGTGTATGTATCTTTATACAAATGTTTCGAAGTCTGGGGACTGTCTTTCTTCAAATGTGAAACTAGATGATAGCAGATGGAGTGTTATCACAATGCTGTTGTGTGATACCAGATATTTGCCTTTTTAACATTACCAGTAGAGAAAGTATGCTATACTGACAAGCAGCTTTTTCTTTAGTTGCCTGAATTGGTCTTGCATCAAGAAGACTGAATCCATTAACATTGCTGGGTTTTGCTGCAATGTGTTTTTAAAAACAAATTAATCTTAAGGAACCTCATTTTGGTAGCATCTTTGATCAGTGAACTCATTCAACCCCATTACTTGGAGAAGGAAAAGCTTGTTTCAAGTATGTTACTTATATATGTTTTTCAGGATGTCACAGACTACTGTAATTTTTTAGGTAATAAAGTTTTCAACGTAGGTGTGAAACTTTAGAAAAAGTCTTCAAAAAAGTGAGAGCTTGCTTGTATTTGTCAGTTTTCACTGTAGATATATAAATACAGCTAATGCATGCAGATCTGCTTACAGCTGCTATTCGTGTCAGATTCATATGTGTTCTGAGCTCTGTATTCGTTCTGTTAGCGTTGTATATTTGGAGATTTTGGAAACCTCTTTTCTTCTCACACTTTGTGCATCTGCTTCTACAGGATCTTACAAGGAGCATGAGCACAGTGGATGTAAATTCTGTGGAAGCACTATATACTGCAAACCCAGTGACTCCAAATACTGCTGCCCTTGTGAGTGGCATCAGTTAGAGCGAGTGAAACAAGCAAATGCAGTGGAGGACAATATCAGAAAGTAGGAATATCTTGAAAATTGAACTGCTTTTCCCTGTGTTCATGTGCAGGGTGAGCATTTAAATTCTGCATTTTTCCCATTTGTATTGAGTTCCTAACACATTTGTTTTACCTGCAGAAAAGCTAACAGTTGTGAGGGCTTTCCATTCCCTGAGGTAACAAACCAACCTATTTTAAGTTTTCATTTTTTTAAGAATTAACTGAAATTTCAGTTTTCTGCTTTCTCAAACTTTTTTGCTTCATCTCAAGGTTATCCAAGAATTTCTTATAAACAAGAACAAATTGATCAAGATAAAGGAATGCCAAAGGCCAAATTTACTGTCCTTTCAGGTATATAACAAAACACTGGATATTCAGCTCTGTAGTTCTTTGTTAGTAAGGAAGACATCTGTGATAATTTTGATCTTCATTGGTAATTTTACTGGAAATGAGAATTAAAGAATCTTGCTACAACTTCTTTATATACCTCATTTTTTGAAAGCCTAAAATTGAAGGCTTTGAAGAAAAATCAGTTGATGTAAATAGGTACGTAGGAAAGTGGAGGAAAGAGAACTCAGAAGAAAGGTCACTTGTTGTTTTGTTTTTCAGTCTCCAGTATTACTAGATTAGGTTGCAGAGTGCTGCATTATCTGTGTAGTGTAAAAATATAAATAGTTATATAGCATAATACATGCTTTGGGATGTTACCGTTTTTGTTTTCATCCACCTTTCCTAAAGGTATTAACAGATACAGCTCTTGTTTTTGCTCATACTTGTTTCATCATACTGACACAGTGCGTATATAGTAGCTTTGAGTATTATAGCAAGTCATCAATATGAAATTTTTTTTAACATTAAGCTTTCTTTTCAATTATATTTTTGGTATCGAGATAACTAGCTTCTGTATAGAATAACCAGAAATGGCTTTTATTCTGAATGTTGCATGTTTTCAAAGAAACAGGTAGCAGACTTGTGTTTAGCATAATACTGCCAGCTTTCAATCAGAGTGCATAAAGCTCAAGGGGGGGGGGGCGGTGCAGGGGAAGGTGTTAATATATGGATGTTAACATTATTTTCTAAGAATAATTTTTATTTGTTTTTTTGTTGTCGAAAGCAGATCTTTTACTGTGTTTCGTTTTCAGGGATTGATGGCAGCATGAGAATAATGTATAGCATTATAGACCGCTGTTGAGCAGTGTGGCTTTGATGAAAATCCATGTTGATCCTTCTCTCACATGCAAAATAATTTTCGCAGATCCTTGTATAGCTGATCTGAATCTGATAAGGTGTTCAGCAACTCTTATTACTGTTGCTGCCACTACACAACTGTTCCCTTGGCTGCTTATTGATGAATTTGCCCTGTTATGGATGACTGTTCCCTCCCTTGGCAGTTAGCTATTGTTAGGCATTATGCTAGTATATATAAACGTTCTAGATGTTTCAAATATTTAATCCTGTGTCCCTACTATGTAGCTGTCTAAGCATGATATCTAACAGAATAGGAAAGCTTTAAAGTTTGGGGTGATTTTTTTTATACTAACAGATATTTGCCTCTGAGAAGATGGAGTGGACCAAACATTACGCTTGTAAGAAACTGTTAGCACTATTGACGCGTTATGATATGATCCAGAGAAAATCTGGATACATTGATTCAAAACAGCTGCAGGCAATACGGTAATGTATTTGATTTCTTGAACTTAATATGTTTATTTCTGCTGCTGGAGGAAAATGATGTGTTTTTTTCCTTTTTGTACAAATATAATGGTTTTCTTCCATCTCTGTTTGGAACTTTGTGCTCATTTTGAATAGAGGTAAAAATTTAGATCAGTACACCAATTCTTATACTGCCACTGCACAAAGTAGTACATGTAGCAATTTCTTTTTGTTCTAACTGACAATACCTGTTTTTCTCTATGCTTACTTTCTGTTTCCTTGGATCTACACATGAGATTTAGCATTACAGGTTCGATCCTTTGCTCAGGTTCTTAGCAGAAGTTTGACTTCTGTGGTTCAAAACAAGAGCCCGGGCTTAGAAATGAGCATCTGCAGATTCGGTCATGGTCTCAGATTTCTTATCAGACCCTGCTGACTGTCGTTGTACTATGTGTCTGATTAAATCTTTGACTTGCCGTTCTATTCTGCTGTCCCTTCTTCTCAAAACAACACTTTCCTTCAGGACTGGTGCATTTAGGAATACAAAAATGGCCAAGTATCCTGTTACTAAAAATGGATAGACAGGAAAAAAACCCAAGATAAGCAGGTAACTACTTTCCTCCACAATGTTTTCCCACCATCCAGGTTTCTGTTAAGGTTTTTCTGATCCAGCATTAGTACCTTCTTATTATTTCAGCCCTCAATCTATTCTTTCAAATGATCTAATCTTTTCTTAAACTTAAGTAAACTTTTAGAATCTACAGTGTCTATTGGCAAATCTGAACTTAACAGTTTCATTTCCCAAATGAAACCCAAATTCCCCCCTTCTCCCAAATTCTTGTATTGCAAGAAGATTAGTAGTTTTACCATGTTCCTTGAAGCTGTTCAAGATTTTATAGACCTTGATTTTGGGGGATGGAAGGACAGTCAGTAGCAATGGACTTGCCTGGACAAGGTCCTGTGCAGCCTGCTGTAGGTGACCCTGCTTTGGCAGGAGAGTTGGACTAGGTGACCCACAGAGGTCCCTTCCAACCCCTACCATTCTGTGATTCTGTGAATGTGATAGTATCTCATCTGGGTTGATGTGTCATAGTTTGCTAAGTTATTACTTGCAGAAAAGCTGTTCTATTCAGTATTATCTTTTGAAAGAGTGGAGAGACTGGTTGGGGGCTGCTTTTTAAACAGGTTGGCTAGATAAATTACCAGTGTTTACCTTGTATTAATTGACATCCTCTATGTATAACACTTTCACGTGTTTCAAGAGTTTAAAAGACAGATCATGTGTGCTCTAGAAAATTTATTTTGTTAACAAGTATTTAAAAATGCAGTAATGAGTCAGCAGGAGACCCTTCATACGTAGCAACCTGTTAAACTAGGGGGTAGATAAGGTTTTTAGAACAGTCTCATAAAGACTGACTGTGCCTACTCAGTTCATGTTTTATCTTCCTTCATGCTCTCATGCAAAAGATATAAATAACCCTGTCTGGTCATTCAGAAAACTACTGTCTATGGCAACAGCCTTCTCTGTGGCATTAGTTGAAGGTATCAAACTGATGTCTGTAGGAGTCTGCGTTACAGATGTCTGTTACAGAATAGTTCTTTTGATTTCCTGTTATGCTCCTCTGAGCTGTATCATTAAAAAAAAAAAAAGGTTCCGTACTGAAATCTAGACCCAAAATTTTACTGTGTAACTTACACAGAGTAGTAGTGTATTTTTTTTAAAAGCTGTATTAATTTCACTATTACAAGAATATTTTTTCCTCTGAATCATTACAAATTAGAGTACTGAAATATTTCTAGATAATTTAGATTTTTCATTTCCTGTTTAAACAAAATCATTTAATGCACTTCTTTTTGTTCTTACAGGATAGTCAAGACACGTGTTAAAAATGCAATTCCTTGTTTTGAAATTGAGTGGCAAAAACCAGGTTGGTCTGCTTTCTGTACACTACGGAACAGAAAAGTTCATAGAAGAAAAGGAAGGTGTGCTTTAAAGAGGAAAAGAGTTTAGACACATTCAGAGGCAGTGAAATGTGGGTGGGATTGGAAACTGTTGTATGAAAACAATAGAAAATGCGCATCAGACTTCACATACCCTGAAAGCAGAAGCAATGCTTCAAAAAAAAATCTACCTAGAAAGCAAGGGACTCCGTCTTCAGATACTTTTTCTGGTAGATGTTAATAAGACCTGAACTCTGTGTTTCATATCTTATTTCACTACGTACCAGAAGCTCTGACTGTTTACTAGCTAGAAAATTTTCTATGCTGACAGACTTCTACCTTTAGAAGTTTGAGCCAGGAGACTGGCAGAAAGAAAAAGAACTTACTTGTAGCTAAATCTCAAGCATTGTACTATTGACCTGTTTACATACCTTCTTTGTACTTAAATAAATCTTTTGTTCTTTGTTATTCCCTACTTTGAAATGTGTGTATATACATGTCTAATGTATATTCATTAAATTTTTAGAACATTATGTTGATGCAGAAGATGAGCCTGTGGAGTTGTTTGTAGTCACAGTAGAAGAGGAGTCTTTGTTTCAGGCTGCTTATCCTGATGTCGTTGCCCTTTATCAAGTGGAAAAGTCAGAAGTTCTGAAGAAGAAACAGAAAAGTAAGTCCAAAAGCTTATTTCTTATGAACTTACAGATCTTACCAGAACACAAGAAGCAAAAGCAACAAACGTTTCTCCCCCTGTTGAGTAATGTCATGTTTTGTCAAAATCAGGGCTTGATATCTTGCAAGGACTGTGCTTTTATCTTAGCATTTCTTACTTTAGCGCTAGGAGATCTGAAATGTGGTTAATGCGCTATTTTCATATCCCCTTTTTTATTTTTTTCAGACAGGAAAGACAAACCAACAGAAGAGGAAGTATCAAATGTGTATGATGAAGTTAGCGATCTTCTGTCTCAAATCAATTTAAAATCTAGATGTGGAATTCTTCCTGTCCCAGACTCCATGTCAGATATAAAAACTCCCCCAGAAGATCAGATACACCAGAAAATTACTGAATCAAAAAACCTAGTGTCAGCTGCAGCTTCTTGCATAACGACTATTCAGATGCCAGCACCAACAGCTGCTTTTCCTCCGACTGCACCGCCTTACTCGCTCTTACAGAGTACGTTGGCTGACTCAACTGTATTGCCAGCACAATTTACTAAAAATTCAGGGATAGCATCCTCTTCCTCTGTAACACCTGGTGTACCATTGAGCAGTATCAATGGGGAAGGAACCTTCTTCAGCACTTCACCAGCCCATGGGGGTGGTACCCGTGATCCAGCAGCTGACTTAACTATATGCATAAAACACTCGCATCCACTAGGTCATGAAATAGAAAGAAGTAGCTCAGAATATTCTGATGCTGTGCAGCCTGATCAACATCATTCTGATAGTGCAGATGATTTGGTTTCACATGATGCTATGAGGCAACTTCAGAAGTGGTCTTCAGGTGAGCGAATGCTTAAGAAGACTTCCATTCCATCCAGCCCTTTGTTGTCTGAAGATCTAATGCAACTGGAGTCTTTGAAACGTTTTAAACAAACAAAAGAAACGTTGAATCATGATAAAGATTATGTCTCTTCCTCGTGTCAGTTAAACAAACTAGTGCAGGAAAGTAAAAACGTGCTATCAGAAAACTACAAAAGGGAATCCAGCATACATGTTTATCAAGATCAGTACAAAAAAGTTGACAGCCTGGCTGAAATAATGCAGAAGGACCTTCAAGCAGGCAGTTCAACATCTCTAGCCCTCAATGGGCAGACAACAGAGACACTGCATCCTAGGTGTGAAATGCTTCCAGCGTCTCTAAAGCCAGCAGGTGTTGTAACTGGCTGTCACATGAAAAAAGCTTGTACTCAAACTACTTGGAAAACTTCTTTTAAAAAGAGTGTGTGTCAGAACAGATGTTCTTCCAGTGAAGACAGTGATGATGGGAGTATGAATAAAAAGCTGATTTATGAGCAGCAGAAAAGGCAACTGAACCCTAGTCAGTTTAAAAAATATTTTCCAAAGAAAAGGAGTAACATTGTTACTAGCAAAAGAACAAACAGTGACTCGGCGCTTATAATTAGAGGAAAGAAGACAAAGACCAATTTAAAAAAAGCTGGTAATAGCTTGTCATTGCAAGTATCTCCAAAACCATCCTCTGTGGAGGAAGTTAATTGTTCCCAAACTCCAGAGCAGCCATTGGAGAGGTCAGGTTCTGGTCCTACACAGCAAGCCGAAAGTGCTGTTCTGACTTACACATGGGCAGACAGTCCCCTTCCCCTGTCTGAAAGACTAAAAGGAAGAATCAAAATCAGTTAGGTTCTCTGTAAAACAGAATATGGTAACAATTAACTCTGAGCCTTCAGCTCTTACAGAGTTCTTTCTCAAAGCTTGTACAGTGTGCTTTATAAGTGAACAGTTTTGATAAATAAGAAGTGCTGTGAAATACTGCATACCGGAGCTGAAGTTTGAAACTAAAATGTTAGCAAAAGTGCCAAATAGCTGACTGTAGGCAAGTGTCGGTTATTCTGGACTTGATTATATTCTGAACTTGATACATAAGCATCAGGATATAGTATGCAAGGGAGCAGGGAGGTTTGTTTACGAAACAAGAAGGGTTTTTTCCCAAGCAATTGTGAGGATTTTGTGTACAGCTATTACTACTTCTGCTTATAAAAATAGACTTATTAAAATAGTGCCTGCACTGCTGTTGGATATTAATAAGACAAAGTGATACAGCTCTTTCCAACTGAAATTTTCCATTCTGCTCCACTAACTTAATTTTGCTAGTCTTAAAATGGGTTTTCAAATCCTGGGATTCTGGTTGTGTGCATTATCTCTGAGGGACCAGATAGAGACATGCAAGCAGATGTACCTTGCAAGGGTAGTTAAATTTTATATCTGCCATGCCCTACAATAAACTCTTCTTTCGAGTGTCTGCATCTTCCAAAGAATGGAATAAGCTGTGTAAGGATATTCGGGTTTTGTAGCGGTTATATCTAATATTTAGGGAAATTTGATGGCTGTTTTAATCAAACAGTTATAATTTGGGACATTTTTTTTTCTTAAGATATGAAATCCCATATAACACTCACTTCTGCTTATAGTAGAATGAAGGTTAAGTTACCAAAATTCAAAATCTAATGATGATATTGCAGATTCTTTGAATAATATCATGTAAATATTTGTTTTTAAAGGGGGAACTTGAATACAAGTGCATTTTTGAAGGTGTTCTTCCTACCTCTTTAATACAGAAGCAATCTGTGTTAATACAAAAAAAAGGAGTGTTCAACAGCTTATTAGAAAATGCCTGCCTGCCTGTATTTAAGTGTTCATAACTTTCTGTGGACCAACCAGAAGGAAGGGCACTCTTACCAAGATAAAATATTAGCAATAAAAATTAGAATATCTATGCCTTAATGAAAATGTAAATTCTTTCTTCATAAAGTTCAGGGCTTTAAAAGTTAGGAAGCTAAGTTCCACGTGTGTTTAAGGGAGAAATAGGTAGTCTATAGATAATACAATCTGTAATTAGCCAAAATGGTAGTTTTGTATTTTACTCTGTGGGCAGATGGAGAATGTTTATTTGTAGTTGATTTTCCATATGAGAAATGTATTATGGAAATGGACAAAATATCTAAAATATTAGAAACCTATTTTCAGTTTTGATAGGTGGTCTCTCTTCTGGAGACTTTTAACCACCCAGCTGATGCGAGAGGGTAGCTAGAAGAGTAGAATTGCAAAGGCGAATAGGAGTGGTGGTCATCTGGGGACTGTAAATGTAGAGATTCCTTATGCAGTGCTCAGCAGTGGAGAGGTCAGACCATTTTTTGTGGAAAAGTATTGTTAGGTTATGTATGATTCTTTTCCTTACTGCTGGTTTTGAATACTGGAGGTTGGAATCCAAGGTTTGCCATTAATAAAAATGGCAATATCATGTGAATGACCTCTTTTGTTTGCTCCCAGTGTGGGAATGCACTCTTTTGTTGGAGGGATCATACAGTTTCACCCACAGGGTGTGGGTTTCTGTGTTTTAGGGTTTTGTTTAGAACTGGGGGGGCAAGAGTGGGTTTTGGAGAGTTTTTTGTTTGTTTTCCAAATCTGTCTGGGCTGACGGCTTTAATGAATGATTTGCTGAGAATACTGTGCCGGAATTATGAGAAGTTCATGTTTTGCCAATAATGGAAACCAGAAATAAGATGTAATCATAAGATGTTAAAATCTGCAGAGGGGAAGAATAAAAACCTATGTTGCTGATTATCACTGCGAATTAAGTTGGCTTCATAAATACAGTTCAAGCATGAAAATCAGAAAAAATTCTTTTTTTTTCATTTGCAGTGCGTCTCAATTTTCTGCAAGTTCTCTGCCGCTACTTTAGAAGCAGCAATAGATGTGAAAACAGCTGTATAGGATGGCCTCTCTCACTTAGGCTATAGCTGCTCATTGCAGCAAATAAACACAGGATCGTTTATCATTGTGGGTGACTTACTTGCATTAAACTTGTGATTCGTTACAGGAGGGAAATTACAGGGTTTTAAAGTGTTTTGATTTCTCAACTTTCTGTAATTTAGTCAGTCTAAGAATTAGGGCTGATTTTTCTTTGGGACTGTGTTTACCATGCCAAAGCTGACTTGTTTTGCAACCTCTCACACTTGTTAAGAAAATTGAGTGGGTGTAACATAACTTTCTGCTGCAGAAAATATTCCTACCAGATTACGTTAAACTGGTCATAATCATAAGTGAGTGTGATGCATCAGCCTGTTGACCCTGAATATATTTTCATTTATCATTTGTCTTGGTCATCCCGAAGAGGCTGTATCAGGGTGCTTCATCTAAAGAGATAAAACTATACCTGCTCTGTGGACAGGGCAAGTAAAGTATGCAGCATTCTTTAGGTAATTTTTTGAAAGTGTTTCTGTAGAACTGGCCGCAGTCCGTTACCTGCTCTGTCACTCCTGAGGTCGGCATCCCTCCAGCTTGAATGATTCCTGCAGGGAGATAGGGCAGATCCATAGGTTCTGTCTTAGCAGTATAGATATCATTATTTCAACTTATAAAGACTATTAAGCATCTACTTAAATGCAAATTTATTATTTAGCGTATCTTAACAAAGGGAAACATGTGTCTGGCACTCCTTGTGATTGTAAGTCACTATTTCAGGTCCATGGGGAATCCACCAGAAAGGAGAATAAATACTGTTGACATGGACCATATACATAGAGAGCTACAAAAAATACAATGTAAAAAAAAAAAAAAACCCACTTCTTAGTTTCTATATATCCCACTGTCAAGCTACGCATGCTTTTACATTCCTCATTGGAAAATATTACTGAAATACTTACCAACGTGTGTGAACATGCTCAACAAAAAGAAAAACTCATATTCATTGCATTTACCAATTTCTACTCTATCAATAGAATTGGTGAACTCAATAAATCTTTTGCTAGTTACCAGAGAAGTTTCCTGGTTTGAGAGAGGGATTATTTAACTTCGAGGCTTTGCACACGCTTGGCTCTGTCCTCTTATGACAAGAAGGATACTTGGAAATAAAGTGGTGAAAGAGACGAACGGCAGCTGTTACTTGAGACAAGATAAAGTCTTTTCATGTCTAAAAAGGTGTCAAACCCTGCTGTATTATATCAGCAGATAAAAGGAAACTGCAGTTACAATATTATTGAGAGTTGTTATAAACCTAAGTGCTACTGACAAAACAATAAACTCAGCGCTAGATTTAGCGCTTTTTCCCTCAGGAAAAAAAACACTGTAACTTTCTCAAGAAAACAAAGTTACGATGGGTGACAGAACCACTCTGCACAGTTCTCTTGCTCATGTATCCTGCATCATAGCTACTATCAGTACTGAGCTTAACTTCGTCAGATAACCACATATCAAACTTCAGAAGTTCTTTAAACCCAAGTCTCGTCTCCACCTCCCACCCCAATTTCCCTTGATGAGGTTGGAGAGATTTTGTCACTTCAGAGTCTGAGCACAGCTGGAAAAAGGGACGTGCCTTTGAAAGTTTTGCTCTGTGAAAGCAGCTGCCTATACTAAAATTCTCCCTGATGGATATTTAAAGTGAATTAGCTGCCTAAAACAGAATGAAGGGAAAGAAGCCAACCAGGGATATTTTTAATGCCAAAATGTTGTAGAAGTAGCTGTAAATTAGCATTTTTTTTACTTTCATATCTACTGTAAAATGCGATTTGTTCTGCTAGAGCACCTCCCCATCCAAGCTCGAAGCCAAGTTAGTTGTCCTACCAAACGTCCTTGACAAAGGTTGGGTCTGTGACAGTTCCTCAGGACACGGTGGGAGCAGCTGTGAGTGTGGCCGGCTTTGAGCAAGTTTGTGGGCAAACTAGCCAGATGAACCCTTACGTGCTGCCTGCTCCACCCATCCCAACATCCCAGGGCTGCCCTGGCAGTGATACCACATAACAAATAATGGACAGAGAAGATAGCACAAATCCTAGAAACTGTCCAAGTTTTGTTTGCTGCAAGAACATTAAATTTGTGGCCTCATTTCAGGTCGAATTCAGGCTGTCTCCCAGCTCAATGTGAATGCCAGGTTTCAGAGCAGCTTTAGCCTTCAAGCCTCTGTCTCTCAACCCACTGTGATGTCTGGTAGACATTTGCTTTGAATCTTTTGCAGGGGTGAGCTAAATTCGCTGTGTGATCCGCAGCTGGGTGGAAGAGAACCTCATGTTTTGGCTCAGGTTCCCTGCAGCCTGGTGTTGAATGGAACAAAGGGCTCCAGGAGTTACGGCCCCGTGCATGCCTCCTGTACAGGGGCTTTGCAAGAGTTTTCATCCAGACTAACACGTTGCTAGTTTTTATACTTGTTGAATGGTCTCTATCAAATAAGGCCTGCCAGGTAGCAAGGTGGGGGATGGGCTATTTTCTTCTGGTTGGTTACAGGGCTGATGTCTCATCGTAGATCACAGAATCTGTTCTACTATTCTGTGATTCTGTGATTCTGTGATTCTGTAATCACACAGCAGGCTGCACAGGACCTTGTCCAGGCGGGTCTTGAATGTCTCCAGAGAAGGAGACTCCACAACCTCCCTGGGCAGCCTGTTCCAGTGCTCCGTCACCCTCAGAGTGAAGAAGTTCTTCCTTATGTTCAGACGGAACTTCCTATGCTTCAGATGACTGTATGGCACTGGGACAGTTATGTTAATAGCAGCTTTCTGTACTTAAATTGGTTTTGTGGTTTAACTGTGGGTAATTGTTCTCTCCAAAAACTTGTTTGGCAGTGCAGGCTGCCAGTCTCTCACATTCTTTGGAGTTTATAGAAATCTGAGTTTCTTGAGAGTGGATAA